GTCTGTTTTCTTTGAGGGTCCGTAAATCTGTGTATATTAGAGCTCGCCAAAAGCGCTTAACGTAGTTGTTTTTGACGAAGCTCTTCTAAGACTTTCCAGTAGCCTCTTCAATATCAATTATTCACTTGGTACACATCATACCCCGATAAATGGCGGCACACGTTGCCTTAACTATTTTGTTTACTACATTTACTCGAATAAACCACAAGTTTGAAGAAGTCATTGATCAAAATGTTATGGCGAGTACCAAATTTTTCATTTTTTTCACCACAATTTTGCGATTTTTACCAGTAAATCAGCTTAGTGGTCTTTATTTCACAAGCAACTGATTTGAAGAACCCACTGATCAGGTGTTTGACGGAAATTGTTATAATAAACCCGTATTTGTATGTATTCTTTTGTGAAACTGTTCAGTATAATTCCTATCTCAGACCAACCCTCATTCAATTCAACCACTCCGAAGGGGCCCGGCTTCTGAGAGACGCCGATTCTTCTCGAATTTTCTTGAGTAAGATCGGTATAGTTCTGTGAAGCTTACATTTGAGGACAGCCACGGTTTAGGTTTCTAATCGGTCCCGATTTTTTTCGGATTTTTTTGCAACTTTTCGTGTGCGTTTTTTTGTTTTCAAGCTTCAGTAGAATGCAGTGATCGGCTTTGGTGAGCAATTCCCTACGTGGATTACTCCATGCATTCTACTTCTACTGATCGTCTTAGCACTGATTGAATGGATACGTAATCCATGCAGTGGCTTGCAATGTGTATGAACAGATTTATGAGCGCTTTTCTCTCCGTGGCAAACTTTGATACCGTAATAAATTGAAGGCGCTTTGTTGTTGTGACATTTCAGATGAGGTTCAGGTCCATCTAATTTTACTACTGATCGAACTGAAAGGATACCTTGAATCTAACCTTCCGTAAAGTTGCATGTAGGTGTTAGTTACTGTTAACATCTTGTTTACGATGATGTTGTTTTTTGCTCAAGAATTCTTCCTTTTCATCTGAAAACGGGCTTTCACTGAACCGATGTTGTCGTAATTGCGTATGCATGTAAGTGAATGTTATGACCAAATTTGGCTTTGTTCGAGGTGATTCATTGTGTTGTTTTGATAGCGCTACCGCTGTTGAAGTCACATTTTGTTAGCTCCGTATTACTGTTTACCAGAAAAAGCCATGCGTGAGCATAGGGATGACGTAGTAGAGAGGAGGAGAGTTAACTCATTGTTCGGCACCCTCTTCCCATGACCTCCTCTGAGAGAGATGAACACAGAATTATACCTTCCTCCTCTCAGAGTTTTTTTTTTGGTCTGATTTTCGACCGTTCCTGTAGNAGAGAATTCCTTGCCAGTAGGTTCTTACTGTAGTTTAGATTTGGATCATGTGGCCTACTGGATAACATAATTGGCCTAGATCAGTCACAACTGTTATATGCGCCCTACCATTTGGCTTCCATCTAAATACTCCATTTGCCCTCCCAGTAATGGTTTAGGATTGGCTGATTAGGGTAGGTATCGATCCACAGTTCGGTCAGAGAACAATCCCCGCTACAAATAGGAGATTCTCAGAATTGATTCGGGATTACCCAGGTACTCAAGCTCAGGTGCATTACATGTCCTACTATGCGCCATTAGAGGTCTCCTCATCTCAACGGCGGTATTTCATTGTTTTATGGGTTGCGCTATGAGCCTTTGCCTAGGTTACGAGTCCATCCAAACGATTTTAGCTCCCTGAAACTTCGCATTTACCTCCATAAACCTATGTACGATGTGATTTTTTCCACTAGATTTGAAAATGTTGTTCTTCGAATATTCCCATGATCCAGGTGGGCAGTGCACTGCACTTGCCCAAGCTACCTGCTCTGTTGGTTTGCCCTTTATGTAATACCCTCCGAATTCTATTGAAACAGAGTCCTTTGATTGCGTATCGCCGTCTCCTGCTACTGTTGAAGTAGCTCATCGAACCGCAAATTTTGTTTTGATTTTTGTGCAGCTACATACTCTGGAAATCTGAAGTATTTCGAGCAAAACGATATGAAGTTACAAGTATTGGCTGTAATTTCGACTAAAATTTTTAGATTTTTTTTATATTTTAGCTGAGAGATGACAAAAAATAATGGCAATATGATAGCATCCCCTTTCAGCGCCCTCTGAAAAGGTTCATCTAAAAATGTCCTGATTATGGAAGGGCACATCAGAGGGGCTACCCTGGATCTAGAAGTCCTTACGAAATGAAGGTACCGGAAAGGAGCCAACACCGACCAGAATACCAGATTCTGGGTTCACAGAGTAATCCAAAAAGCTCATAGGACATCCTGGGTTGACGTGTGCAGTGGGATTCGATCTCTTTAGCTGGGAAGGTTACAGTGGTTACTCTTTCTACGGGTCCACTTACCTAGTAGGTAATATGACTGGAACATAAACAAGGTAGGATTGTGATCGGTAGATCTTCGATCGTTGCGATTGCATCTATCGATTAGCATTTGATGGTGGTTACTACCGCCACCGAACATGGCCACCCACATCGAATATTTCTTCATCAGCTACCGTAGGTACGTAGTTTGGGATTTGTTGACAGATTTCTTCAGATATCCTAAGCCGATGATGATGCAGCCAGCTGCCAGCCAGTTCGCCTTCTTCTCCCGTCTAATATGCCCGTTGTTTTTGCAAATTTCTCGTGGCTTCACTGCACCCTAATCCTCATTGTGCTGTCAGCCGTATATTGTTGCTTCAGCTGCCAATGTAACCAATCTGATGTCTAGCTAGCTCTCTTCTACACAAATCACTGCTACTACTGTTGCTCTTTCGAAATAGCCTGCCCGCAGTTCCTGGTATTTTCAGCAGGACACTGCTTTGTAGCTATTTTGTTTTAATTTTTTTAGTCGAAAGTTCGTGGGTTTTGAGTGGAAATTCTATCCAATCACTGAAGTTCAAAAAAAAAAGAAATTCAATTATCTACTTTCAATTTAATTTTTTGATGGGTTATTTCCGATTTTTTTTTCGATTTTTACATTATTTTTTTAGTTCAAATCTAATTACATATCTTTTGAATTACAAAGTCTCTTTCGAATTACAACTCGTTGTCTACATCTGCATAAATTAGAGTAACTGCTTATTTCGAGGTTCACCTTTCTGTAGGGTATGTCTCAATTGCAGTGCAACTCTCTAGAGGACCCTGGCAAAATTGTAGTAACTCCAGAAAAGCTTGAAGTCCCAGGGACAGAAACTTTGCAGCTTGCCACTTCCGTTGACGATTTTTTCTCCAGGCTCACCACTAACACTTTTGAAATGAACAGCTTTTCCAATGAATTATGGAATTGAAATATGGGCGAGACAAGGGTGGCGTTGAAATTTGATAGGTAGATCTTCTACTGCTGCGTTACCATCGATTGCAGAATGATCTTTGAGAGAAATGTTCAAATTGCTCTCTCCTGAGACGTGTTTCTTATCATTCTGTTATCTTTCATTCGTGTTTTATGTCCTCTCTTCACTGTCGGTTCTTTCACTAGTGCTCGGCCCATATCCCAGTGAAGTCGCTCGTCATACTTCGTCTCCGGGTAGGTCCTTTCTTTCTGCTTTGTTTCTTAGGTGACCCCAACGTTGAGCTGGACATTCTTACTTGGGTGAAAATGTAGTTGGGGGGTGCCAGCGCCCTTTTGTGCTCTGCGTCTCTGACACCTGCGGCAAAGTGCATAGGGAAGGCAGAGATGGATTCCTCCCCTTTTAAAACTTAGGGGAGGAGCTCCAGGGTGGGAGAGATGATTATCTTGTGCAAAAAGCTGGGATGGGGTAAGAATTGAACATTCAACT